TTTTGTTGTTATAACTAATTACAAGAATATTTTTGTTTAAAAAATAATTTTCTGCTGAAATACTGCACGAAAACTTTATAGGCACTCATTTTGGTATCATCTTCTCTAACAATGTCACCTGATGCAATCTGTGCCCTTCTAATGACACAACTGAGTAGGACCACCCATAGCAGAGAGAAGAAAAAGAAAGAAGTGGTTCCTTGTGCAGGGAGAAGGAAATAACCAAAGGCAAGTGGGTGGAAAGCACCATTTCTTTAGGGCAATGAAAGATGTCCTTGGGACTGGTTGGGAGGGAAAGATCAAGCAGGTGCACAGAAAGCCTGTTAAGGATTCTGAACATTAAAATAAGAGAGATAAAAGCCTTTAAAGGGTTTTAAGTAGGAGCTCAAAAGGATCAAGTTTCTTCTTATTTATAACATTGCTTTATCTAGATGTATGATTCCAGTTTGGAAATATAATACTAATTGTTGTTATTTATTGTTATGTACTGTCAAGTCAGACCCGACTCATAGCTACCCCTCCTTGGGTTTCCAAGGCAGTATCACTAAGGAAGTAGATTGCCCCATCTTCCTTCCGAGGAGTAGCTGGTGGGTTTGAACCACCAGCCTTCTGGTTAGCAGTCAAATGCTTTAGGCATTATGCTACCAGAGCTCCCTTATACTAATAGCTCCTGTCATTTTATATTTTTTAACAATTTTTTTTCCAACTATGTATTCCTATTATATCTTCTCAGTGAGGAGAGTCTGGGCTTCTTCATCTGAGAATAGTACAGTGCTTTTTTCAATAATAAAGCCTCATTGAAATTAGTTAAAGGGTTATCATACAGTTCTTCCTTTCTCCTTCAGTTTCTCCTCCATGTTTTATCTTTTATCGTTGCTAATGATTATGTACCCTAATCAAGGATAAAAGAAGAAAACAGAAGCTTAATTTAATATCTTTTAACTGTCACACTCACAATTCCAGATCTTAATATTTGGAGTGGGAGGTCTGTATCTGTACATTTAAGATTAATTATCTGCATTAAACTAGTTTCTAAAGATGACGTTTTCATAGGTTCTAGGCCTACATTTGTAAGAACTGAAGGAACTGGCAATACATACTATGCCATGGTAAGTCTTCCACATACTTTATCAAGTAGTGTTTTTGAGCAATTCAGACTTCCTTCTTTTAAGCAACTGAGTAAGCTATTATGTTTTATTTCATGTTTCCATGTGGTTTTCATCAAAATGTCTACTAGATTACAGTTCTTTAGAAACATTGTCATCTTTTAGTTCAAATGCTTATAACAGTGACACCGACTCGAAAGAGCAGCACCGGTGTCTTAAAATATGCTTGATTATTTTTTAAATCCACAGTGTGGATTTAGAATCTTTCTTTTAATAATCTTTCTATACTAAAGTAGAAAAAAGCACAGTGCCATGATATAAAAAAAGGGATTATTTTTAAAATTGCAAAAAAAAAGCATAACTGGAAATATAAAAGCTTCAAATCAGCTTTATTCATGGAAATCAATATATTTAACAATTTTTACAAAGACCACTATAAAAAAGTTTTCTTAGTATGTTGGAATCAGTGTGGGACCTAGAGCTGCAGGAAACTTCTGAATCAGGTGTTGAGATGGCAGAAGGAATGGGAAGAATTTTCCAGACCCTAAACAACTGATAACTTTTGGCCAAGTACCTGGGTTCTTTTGAAATGTAGTTTATGAAGGAAATGATGTCATAGTCATTTGCTACTATTTCCACCATTATAAATGTTGAGTCATCGTGTAGAATTTAAATTGTCAAACTGAGTGACAAATTAGTGGTAGAAGATGTATTAAAGAAAGCTGAAGAAAAAAGGTGCAACTATAAAAGGAAAATTAGTAGAATAAAGCATCGAAGTCTGCATCCGAATGGGAGCAAATTGTTTCACCTTTGTACTCACAAAGAGGTTCCTTTGGCACATCACTTTATATAATGTCTCAATTAAACATTACATACAGGAGAATTTAAAGGAGTTCAGTGAACAAAATCAATGAAGTGCAGACAGGAATTGATTTTTAATTTACAAATATTTTCCATATATGTTATGACATTAGTTATATGGACTCAAGGTAGTTTCTAAAATGTTATATTATACAGTAATGCTCATAAATGGTAGAGTCTAAATACGTTTTTCTGTAGTAGTTTGTGTTTTCCACGTATAGGGTCAATTGAATAAATGCTGTTTTACTTTCACCTTTGTCTCTATTTTTTGCTTAGCCTCAAAAATTCACATATTGATCAGGGCACTTAAAAGTAAAATATTCTGTTAAAATAAATTAATGTATTTGCAAAACTAGACATATTAAAAATTGTTCTTCAAACAACTATCTGAAGGCTTTAAGTGAATAATTTTATGAAAACTAAGTAAATTATTGCAAAATTGTGTGATAGCTTTGGTGAGTAGCATGATTTTAATTGCCAATACTTAAAAATAGAATTCTAGGACTAGCAATTTTGAAAAGCTAAAATTCTGTTTGAGTCAATATTGCAGTTTAAATAGGCAAGACAATTTCAGCAATGAAATAGGGAGTCCCTCCTATCACTGCTTTGAATGCAGACTATATAAAAGACCATAATTAAACAATTTGGTTGTCATTAGTCATGCAGATATTAGATTTAGAGCTTCTTATTTTGACAGTTCTAAACCTAGAATACTGGAAATGTCTTAAGTCAAAGTACAAGTTAAAGTGATAGTACCAAAATGTAAATTACTTCTTTCCTTGCTGCTAAAGCAGTCAGTACAATTCATTCAAAAATAATTTCTGTTTAAAAAATAAATATAGTTATTTCAGTATTTTTCCCTCCTAAGTAGACATTCAATGGCTCTATGTGAATACAATTAAAACTTTCTTTAGGATGTGCCTGTATTTAATATGCCCTATATTTAATTTAATATACCCTATCCCCTACATCCATGCTGAGCATTAAGTCATGGAGATCTACCACTGAATGATCTTCACCCTCTCCTGAATAGCAAGTAAATCTTTGAGATCAATTGATAAAGTGATTGTCACATAACTTTGTCCTAAAATGTAAAGTAAAAACAAAATCACTTTTCAAATCTCTTAAAAGATATATGCATAAATGTACCACTGTACATCTATATACCTTCAAGTAACTATAGAAAAATAGAACAAACACAAACAAAACATCATATCCTACTAAAAGCAAGATAATCTAAATAGCTTATAAGATATTTTTCTGATACAGATGTTCTTCCTCTAATTAGGTTAGTACACAAATCATCTGATGACTGGTAATGTTTAATTTGCATCTATGCTAATAAATTTTGTGAGCTGTTATTTGCTGTTAAAGATAACTTATCTGGAAAACTACTTCACCCAAAAGCTATAATTTCTAACTCTTTAGTCAATCTTGAAAGCATATTTCTCTTTATAATTCATTCAAATAATTGTAAAGATGGCTTCTTTTAAGTTATTTTCTGTTAAATGTCATTTGCATTATTAGTGTATTCTTAAACTAGTATACTGAAATGCCATGAAATTCTTCAAGTACTAGAAAAATGTACAGAGAACATTATTTAAATATATAAACACCATTAAGAACATTCAAAAAGAAGAAAATAGAAGGGACTTTTACCTCTGAACAACGTTTGGTATAATTTTACATTTTAAAATATCATTAGGTATCAGAACTACAACATCCAATTTGCTCAGCTGCTGCATTTTCTAAACTAGTATGTAAACAGCTCATTAGAGATGCGAATTAAAGAAAGTCTCTATATCCCATACTATAAGATGCTTTCAGGTATTATTATAGAAAGGTAATTAGGTTTTCCTTTGAAAGCCTACAAATATTCTAAATGATTCTAAAGGCTTTCAAATATCCATATTTCATAGTTCTATAAAAATGTTAAATCTAATTTTTACATTATGGTACAACTGAAATAAAGCAAGTAAACATAGTATACTAGAATAATAAACAGAAATTAGTAGTATATACAGGAAAAATAATATCATTTAAATAGCAAGATAAATAGAATTGCAATCAAAGTTTGGCTCAGGTATATGCAGTCCCTGGGTTATGAAAAAGATCTGTTCCTAATTGCGCCTTTCAGTCGAATTGGTAGGTAAACCAGAACAGGTGCATACAGTTCTTATTTAGCCTTACTTTAGTGCAAGAAAAGGCCCAAAGCCTTTTCCATGATTTAAAAGCTGCATGTGCAGCAAGTGAAGGTGCTTGTGATGAATAATTTGTTGCAAAGAAGGGTTGGTTCAAAGTATTTCAAATTTATGCAACATTAAAGGGCAAGTGTGAGTTGCCTGTACGTCCGACATTACAACCCAGGCATTGCCTGTATTTACATTCATACTTGACTCAAGCACAACCCTTGACCCATCTTACCAAGGATTATTTTATACCACAGGCTCTCTCAAAAGAAGTGAAGTGGTTAATATAAAGCTGAAACTCTCCAGTAAGTTTGGCATGCTACTGATATTTTATACACTTAACCATAGTTTTTCAAATAGAAATATTATTTAAGACAAAGAGTAACCAAAATGAGGTATAATTATTTATCATCACATTAATTCTGTCCTTCTTTCACAAAATCTAATGACAGAAATGCATACTAGTAATTACCTACTTACCTCAAGGAAATTTTGTTTCTTCAGGTACCCTAGCAAAGCAGCTTTCCTAGCTACTTTTCTGCCTGTCTAAACCACACAGCTCTCTAATATAGAGAGAAGGTATAAAAGAAGTCATATAGTGTTATAGTGAAGGGACTAATCAGAGTTACTTTATATAAACTGTGTAAGTGCAAAACATCTATACATTGCTCAAGCAGTTGTTTGCTAAGAGCGATACATTTTACATATATATATATTTTTAAAAAATCCTCCTAAAGGAGACACTAGTCTACAAAGGCAAGTAACACCAACAATTATTCCTAGTAATAGTCTAATCTTTTTTGGGGGAAATAAAAACACAGAATCAAGCAAAGAGCTTACTCACATTCCTTTCAGCCGTTGCCACATTTTTTCAGTCTGTTCTCCTGTAAGATACTTAAAAGTGGCGTTTTCCAATTCTTCACTTTCTGTAGCAGTAGACCCCATGATGAGACTCCTAGGGTAATAGAGTTACAGTCAGTTTCGGGAGCTAGAACAAGCATTCCTCAGTCCCCTACAAACCTCACACAGTTACACAGTGGCATCTCTTATCTATTAAAACATTGGCGATTTACAAAGCTGAAGGAAGCCTCTGCCAGAATTGCTCTTCCCTTTGACAGACATATCCACCGCTCACCACACCACCCCCATCAAGCACACAACAGTGTAAACGGTTGCTCTGACCTCACAGAAACAATCCGCACAAGTGAGCCTGCTACTGTACTACTGACTGGCTGAGCACTCAAGCTCTCCCCAAAAGCATCTCATTTGTTGCTGCTCTGTGCACTGAAGCACATCAGAATTCCTACAGTTTACGAGCTGTGTTATCCACAAGACAAACGTGAATGACTTTAGCGCTCCAGAAGAAGCTGAATTCCCCTCAACCAACGGAAGAAGGGCAGGATGTAATAAGAAAGCAGATGGTAGGAACCAGTATCAGCAGCAGCACCCCGAGAAAAAAAAGTGCCTGTTAAAATGCCAAGGTTTTTTTCTCTTAATTGATCCAGAACCAATACTTAAAAACATAACATGCTCTAACAATAAATGCAACAAAATTAATGACAACAAACAGAAAAAAAAAAAAAATCATATAAAGCCATACAGAAGACACACCGCAGAGCTCCACAGGTTGTTATTGAAAGAATATGTACATCAACTGATGCTGTAATCATGCTTATTCACCTTCTCCTAGCAACTCCACACAGTAGGTAACTGCCAGTTTAACCAGTGAAAAACACAGCAGCTGCACACAGCCTGCTTCGTGAATCCTTTGGGGATTAAAAAATAAATAAGGTGAAACTAGCGTGTCTTCATGTGTGCTTGTGTGAGGAAAGAGAGCGTGTGTGTGTATGGGTGTCAGGAGAGATGAGAGAAACTGATGCTGTCTGTGCTGCTGATGCATTTAAGAAGAAAAACAAGAGAAAGTGGACATAAAAGGAATCAGAACTGAGTCATCTGCCAAGCTCACAACACATGGCGAGTTTTCTTTGAAACAAGCACAGGACTTGAGTACGAGCACGCCAATAGCTATTGCTATCTGTAGCCTGCTAAGAAAAATCTACTTAAAAGCAATTATCTCATTTGTTTGGAAACCCAGATCTGGTTTTATTCCTCTTTGCAAGAAAAAAAAAAATTCTGTTACCCTGAGGTTTAAGGGAGAGAGATATCCATAGATAAGTAGATAGTTAATAATATCTAATACTTATTGAGAGCTTGAGATGTACCAGCCATTGTTGTCAGTACTTAATATGTATCAGGATATTGCATATTAAGATAGGCAATTAGAGGATGAACAAGTTAAACACAAAGTAAGTAGAAATTAAAAAAAAAAAACTCACTGCCATCCAGCCAATTCCAACTCATAGCAACCCCCTTTGGGATTCCAAGGCTATAAATCTTTACAGAAGTGGGTGGCTCCATCTTCCTTCTGCAGAGAGGCTGGTGGGTTTGAACCACTGACCTTCCGGTTAGCGCCCAAGTGTCTTATCCAAATAGAAACAAGAAAATAAATATTAGTTTTAAATGCAAAAATGTTCAACAAAATCCTAGCCAACAGACTCCAACAACATATCAGGAAAATCATTCATGATGACCAAGTGGGGTTCAAATCAAGTATGCAAGGATGGTTCAACATTAAAAAACACTCACCATCATCCACCACATAAATAAAACAAAGGAGAAGAACCACATGATCATATCAATTGATGCAGAAAAGGCATTGGATAAAATCCAACACCCATTCCTGATCAAAACTCTCAGCAAAATATGAATAGAAGGGACATTCCTCAACATAATAAAGGGCATCTATGCAAA